TCTCTCTCTCTCTCTCTCTCTCTCTCTCTCTCATGTATAAACATTGAGGTGCATTGGTTATGTTGAAAATTGTTTATTGCATTGTGTGAGTGTTGTGCATGTTGTGTGTGGTATTGTTGAACACATCTTTAAACAGGGTTGACTGAAGAGAAGAGTGATTGGTGGATGCTCTGATGTCATCTGCTTCTTCTATTTGATTCCATGATAGTTAGTCTTATCCTAATTTGCTCTTAGTTTAGATGTAGATGTTATTTTGTATTCTAGCAGAATGCTAGAAAGTTGTCTTTAATCTTTACTTTACAGGTAGGTAGAGGATGCCACTGTTGGGTCATACTTCTCTTCTCTCCTTTATATTGTATCTCCATATGATGTACGTCTACCTTACTTTTTCGCTTTTGCACTTCTGTGACCTTATTGTGTTGCAAGTGCCGTAAATCTCTTATTAAAACTTACTTTTTGGCAAACACAAAATCAATGTTATCATGTGCTCTCTTTACTCAAGCAATCAAACTGTTCTTTCTTAATAAGTTGGAGCGCATCCAGGCGGAGAATGCGAGTGAGTGGGCCAAGCGGGAGAGGCTGGAGTCGGAGAAGCTGGCACTGGAGAGAGACAACAAGAAGCTACGCTCACAGGTAGGTGTTTGTGTCGTAGATTGCTGGGAGCCGTAAATGCCGTCTTTGTACTGGTTTTTTTTTAAAACTACTTTTTAATCACTCTTTAGGAGTCAGTACATCTACTGACCAGAGCGTCTTTCGTCACTGGGATATTGATTAAGAGCAATGGGTGGTTTTCCGGTGGTCTGGTGTGGTTTGCTTCTTCCTTCTTCTTTCCTATCAAATGTCAATCATCTTTATCTCCCCTCCTTCTTTTTTGTGTTTGTTACTCTCTTGTAACACCTCTGAGCTAATCTTTGGCACTTATATGACCTTATTGTGTTGCAAGTGCTGTAAAACACTTACTAAAAAAAAAAAGACCTTTGCTTGTCAACCTTTTTGTAGCCAGCACACACTTTTAAGGAGAACAAGACAGAGCCCAGTCAGAGATGAAGTGGGAAAAAGGCTGTGATGATGGATTGGACTTACTGTCAGAAAGTCAGGCAAGGAAAGTGTTGGGTTGAAACCCACAGGGTAAAAGATCAAGGGGAAGATCCGAAGACCACGTGGAACCTGGAGAAGAGTCACAGATATTGATGCACAGAAAAATGGGAAGACATGGATTCATGGAATAACATCAAGAGGATAGGGAAAGGTGGAAAGTGTTTGTTCGTGGCATATGTCCTGATCCACGGTGAAAAAGGCTATGATGATACACTTCTGCCACCTGTAAGAGGATGAATTTTTCATACCGCCCACCTACAGGTATTTCCAAGCAGGGCTTTAAATAATACTATTCGCTACCAGGATGATTCCTCCCACCCACTAAAATTACCAAAATCGCCCACCAGTGAATGATATCGCCCTGGTACTAAGTTTGCAAGCAGTGATTGAGACTGAAGAAATATGACAGAAAAATGACATTTTTTTTCTCCATCTCAGATCTCTGACTTTGAAGAGGAGCTTGAGAAGAAGAGCCAAACATCATCTACTGTGGCCGACTCTGATCTGAAGACCATGCAGTTTGAGCTCTCTGAGAGAACCAAGGTGAGCTGATGAAAAATAGAAGAAAAGAAAGACAATTGTTAATTGATCCCCAAAGGGAAATTTTTTATTTAGTGACATGGCAGGAATCATTCATAACATGAAAGATTAAAGTTTTTATCCGTACTCTTGTTTTAATATAATGTGTAAACTTCTATCTGTAGGCCTATTATAACATTGCTGGTGGCTGTTGTGCAGTGTCCAGGGGTTCTTGTGTTGGAGTATTGTTGTCTTGTTAATGGACATGTCTCTCACCACATTATGTCTAAAAGCTGATTCACGATCATCGTTGGCACTGTTTGTGGACACGTTCTTCTCGCAACTTTACAACAGGTGCTCTGGTGTGGTTTGCTCCTTCTTTCCTATCAAACATCTATCGTCTCTATCTCCCCTCTTCCTTTTTTATGTTTGTTACTCTCTTGTAACACCTCTAGTCTTCTGGCGCTCATATGGCCTTATGCAGTTGCGAGCGCTGTAAAACCTCTACTAAATCTAAACTAAATACATAACATTATAAATTAGTTCTGATCCGTACCCTTGTTATAATATAATGTGTAAGTTTCTATTAGTAAGCCTACCATAACATTGCTGATGGCTGTTGTGCAGTGTCCTGGAGTTTTTTGTGTTGGAGTATTGTTGTCTTGTTAATGGACATGTCTCTCACCACATTATGTCTAAAAGCTGATTCACGATCATCGTTCACACTCTTTGAGGACCCGTTTTTATCTCGTGGGTGGTTGGCGGGTGCTCTGGTATGGTTTGCTCCTTCTTCCCAAAAAAACATCTATTTAATCTTCGGCACTTATATGACCTTATTGTGTTGCAAGTGCGGTAAAACTCTTACTAAAACTAAAACTTTAAAAAAAACTCTAAAAGCTCTTATCTCACTACTTTACAGTTTCACTTGATCACTTTGTTTGAAAATGAGAAAACATGGCTCATTTTATATGTTAAAGAGGAAGACAATTCTAAAATTATACCTGAATTCAAATTCATGAAGTGTTAACTCTCTTATCACATTTTTTGGGGTGGATGGAGGGTACCACTGATTGGTGTTTTTTCCCCTCCTTTGTTTCTGTTTGCTTGCCTGTATTTCTTTCTTGAGCGCTAAATCTCAGTTATTGTATCTGAGTATTTCTCTATAATCAAACAATAAATAATTTTTAAACTCATAAGGAGCTGGCCGACCTTCGGCACGTCCACTCAAAGCTGAAGAAAGCTCTTACGGAGCGTGGTACAGAGTTGGAACACACGCGGCGACGTGCAGAGCAGTACGAGGCTGAGGTGCGCAAGCTGCGAAGTCGGGTGGATGAGCTGAAGCAGGACCTCGCTAAAGCAGAGGATGAGGTATGTGCCAAAAATTGTACTGTAAGACAGTAGTTTTCCACTCGTATCTCATTTTCAGTGAACGTTTTGAAAAAATTTTTGATGGAGTGATTTGATTTCATTAAGCATTACAAGAACTTTACAGAAATCCCTCCCCCCCGGGGCAGTACCACTGACTGTAGTGTCTTTAGGCCATTCCCAAAGGGAGGACATTTCTCATTCAAGCGCAGTAGAATTGTAAATGGGCTGATTCATCATGTCATGCTCATAACTGTGCCTGATCTACAACAGGGAACTGCTGCTTTTTCTTTCCTAATCTTTACTATTGTCATTTTCCTCTACTTCTTTTGTATGTTTGTCACTCTCTTGTGACCTGCTATTTCCGGGGTGCCTTGATAGTCGAAGCAGACCTTGTGTTGTTGAAGCTAGAGAGGTGAGCAGAGTAAGTCTGATTCCCTGTAAGGACTTCTCTGTTGACACCCACCCCTTGGCGCTCATATGACCTTATGCAGTTGCGAGTGCCGTAAAACCCTCTACTTAACTAACCTAACTAAACAGAAATCCCTTTGCAACTTTTAGTGTCCATTTTGTCGACAAAAATTGAGAGTTTGTTAAAGACTTGAGAAGTGAGTGTGTTTTGAAAGAGTAATATGTGCACATTTTTTCTGCTGTCTAATTGAGTCTTCTCTGGGTATGTCCTTTTCAAGTTTGCAGTCTGTTTGTTTCCTCTCGCCCCATTCCTCAATATAATAGTTTCCAAGTGTGCAAGCTTAACCCTTTGAACTATGGTTAACCCCTATGACCACTGCACTCGAGCTTCGTAGAGACAACTGTTATATTAACACCAGCTCATGCTGTGGCATGCACTTGGGCCGGGTGGGTTAATTTTTGAACTAATGAGCCTTTGTGTCTTGAAGGGAACATTCAGATATAGAAAAGATTTTCATTCCAGTGCTTTTTGTCTGTGTCAGCTTTGCTCTTGTGGTAAGCTTGACGGATTTCAACGTTCCTGTGCTTGTTCCGATGTTCACTTCTGTCTGTAGAGTTGTCAGCAGAGAGGTTGAATTCAGAGTCAACTTTTTTGTCATTTGAGACACTTGTTCATATACACATAAGATCAGTCCATGTAATGATCAAGACCTCATCTCGCGCCACAGTCTGGGGGTGTAACAGGTTTAAAGCATCACCATTGGTCAGTGTACCTAGCCAAGGAGTGCCGGTCGACACGCCATGTGATGTTGTTGCTAAAAAGGATACACACCTCGTGAGTCATCGCTGACAACTGGCTTGCGCAATGTAACGTCACTTTGCGCATAAGGAGACAAAGGCCTAGCGGTTTACCGCCAAGGTTAAGATTTTTTTTAAACGAACCCTTTCGCCCCAAAGACAAGCTGTGATGCTGATAGGTAATAAAAAAAAAAAAGAATATGTTGCATATGATGAGATGATATGCGGGCGTAGCACCATCTTGCAGCACTTTTTTTAAAAATGGTTTTGAAAGTAATAATTTGTGCCCTTTTGCATCAATGTTTGTAGAGAGTCACCTCTTTTAAAAAAATCTTTCAAGAGTGTTAAACTATGTTTTATTATAGGGTAGCAATTTGTAGAACCGTTTCTCAACTGGTGTCCCCTTGCATAGAGTGGTGTTTTCAGTAGATGTCTAGAAGATGATGTGTGTGTATAATTGTGTCACAGGTAGTTTATAGACTCTTTCTTGTGGGTAGTTGGTGGGTGCTCTAGTGTGGCTTGCTCCTTTTTTCCTATCAAACATCTATCGTCCTTATCTCTCCTCCTTCTTTTTTGTGTATGTTACTCTCTTGTAACGCATCTGTTCTTCGGCACTTGTATGACCTTAATGTGTTGCTAGTGCCATAAAACTCTTGCTAAAACTAAACTAAAGACTCTTTCTTTGTGTGGTTTGATCCTTCTGCTGCTTTTCAGTTTTTCAATTTTTATTGTTCTGGTCTGCTCCTTATGAAAAAGGTTGTATAGCCATGATGGTGCTGACTTGCTGATGACAACTCAACCACTGACTGATTCTGTTTCTCAGGTGGATAACCAAGGCAATGCTGCCCGCAAAACCCAGAGGGCAAACGATGAGCTACAGGCACAGGTTGAAAGCTTACAGGTGCAAGTCAGTCACCTGCAGTCAAGGTGAGAGTCATGGAGTTTGTGTTTCTTTCTTATTTGGAGGAGGGTTTTGTCGGTCAAGTTTATTGACAATGTTATGCTTTTTGTAGCTAAAATGAATAGGGCAACTTCTTTTTTATTCTAATACCATTGCTTAGTTTAATCAACAGTGGACCCTTTTTGAGATTGACATTTACTTTTCATTATTCCATGCAGTGGTTCTTCAGCTTAACACTATCAGACCTGTATAAGTCTGACTTTTGTGAAATTGTGGGAAGTACTTCTTCATGTCAAATTTTTCATTATGAGATAGTCCTATAGAGGACATGAGATATCATGTCTTTGGTTGTTTGATCTCTATGACAATGTATGTTTGAAATTCTGTCCTGTGGGTGGTTGGCAGATGCTTTTGTGTGATTTGCTCCTATCAAACCTCTATTGTCCTTATCTCGCCTCTTCTTTTCTTTGCATGTTACTCTCTAGTGAAACCTATAAGTCTTCAGCTCTTATGCGATCGGTTTGTGTTGCAAGTGCCTTTCAACTCTGACTGAAACAAAACCATGTCCTTTTTCAAAAACTGCCAGCAGGGTGTATAGCTGTTGAGTTGGGTCTGGGGAAACCATTAATCCCTAAACTGGACTCATGAAGACTGCACTGTAGGGGGAAAAAAACCAGCAGAGCCAAATATTAGCAATTTTGAGAAATTTTAGTTTTTAAGTTTGGAACCTCATATTTTAAAGGATATAGATACTTGTTATGTTTATTTTTACTTGGATCATGTATATCATATATCTACGATCAGCAACAGATCAAGATCAGTGTCCATCATAGAGAAATGAGAAATAGGAGCTTGCACATTCTTCAGTATTAGTATACTTTTTGCAGCCTGTCCTTCTAAGTTCAAGAAAAAAAAAAAAAAACTAAACTAAATATGTTTGTGAATACGGAATTTCTGCACGTCTTCAAGGGTTGTTGAGGGACCAGAATGGTATCCTCAATAAGTTAATACGTTATGCTATGTTAAACTGCAGTGTCATAAAGTCCCTAGTTGTTATCACTCAAAATAATAAATATTATGACCATGACATTTCTTTTCTTGTAGTATTCGCTCGTATTCTGAATACCGATGAAATCGTATCGTTCTGACTCTATTTCAGGCTGCGCAGCAACAGCAAACATGGGGCTGTCACGGCGCCACGGTCTACCAGCCTCAGGTCCTTGACCTTGGAAGACTCGGCCGAGCTTGCAGACAGTGAGAATGATTATGATGATATGTAAAGCTCAGGTGAAAGTTAAAGGTTGACATACTTTTACCGGCTTTTTTTGCCATGTTTTTAGATCTGCACATTATATGGCAAGTTGGATTGTTCATGTGCATTTGGCAAATTTTTCAGAGAGGTACGAGTGCTGGTGACTGATATAGCTGTTGTAACGTGAAATACCACTCGTCTGCTGGGACATTTCAGTAACCCACTCTCAGCACTTTTCAAGGACCCCTGAGCGACTGTTGACGTCCTGCGAGCTGTCGGCATCGCTAACCGTTTATGACGCCACAGCGCCAGAAAGAGAGAGAGAGAGAACATGAAATACCAGAACAAGAACAGAAACTCTTATACCACTACTGTTGGTAAAAAGGATGGGGCTGAGAGAGAAAGATCTTTTTCTGCCTGTGAAAGTTTCTCAGGCCGTATAGCATACTCTGGAAAATAAAGTCTCCTTTATCCTCTTTTGTAAATTTTAAAAAATGTGGATCATCACAGGAGTAAAAAAATCCAATGCTGTCTGCTTATCCTCCCCTCTTCGTCCCTGTCTTTTTGATTGCATGATGGTCAGATGAAAAGACTGTTTAGCCGAGTGGCCTACGTTGATGCAATCAAAGAGAATGGATACTCTCTTTTTTTTTATGCTACAAAAAGTAACCATAGATAGATGAAAGCATGTCTTTCTAAAGATGCTAGCATATGGCCACCTGTGCAGTTTTGATGTATTTATTTCAAAATGGATTTAGTTTTTTCTTGTTTGAGTCCTACAGTGCTGAAAGAGAAGCCTACACCTTCATATCATCCTGACTTCATTTAGCAAGCACGGACAGAGAAGACGACGGACCAAAGCTTTTGGTTGTGTTAAGCACGAGTTCATTTGATCCTCTTAGTCTCCACTGTGTTTTACTTGTATAATGTTACTTTTAGGTCCTTTCTTCATATTGGGCTGTTGTGACATCTCTAGATTTGTCCATCTAGCGAAATTCGCTGAGATCTGTTGCTGTGGTTTTACTGAGTCACAGGTTGCGGGCGGTATTGCATACAGACGTAAGTCATTCTTGGCAACTTTTGAGATACGTCTCTACGCAATACTGCCCGCCAGGTGCAAAGTGAGGTGCAATTCTAGTTTTTCATAAATGTGTCTGCATGTTTGTTTTCAAAGTGGACAGCAGCTGTGGGCTGTTCTATTTTATTTTGAATGTGTGTGTGTGTGTTCTAGTTTTCATATTAGTTCATTGAATGTGATTCTTTTTTACACATCTTTTGCAATTTACTATATCGTTGCTTCAGAACTTATTTTTCCAAAGTGCACTTAAGCAAAGAGGCACTTTGGACAAAATAGATATGAGGCGCCGATATATACAGAAAAATGATGCTGATCAAAATTTCGAGCAGACCAATACGTAGCAATATCTTTGAGAAAATAGAATGCTATATTCCTTTCACAGGTTTTGATAAAATATGACACAGATGCTTCCTGTAACAATTCTGTGCTTCTCTGTTCATTTTTGTTGTCGTTATGCTCTTTCCTTTTATCTGACTAGCAAGACCAAATCTTATCTGTATGAAGTTGAGAATATTCTATATGTGGATCAGTGAGGTGGCTGAAGCTAACGATTGTTCACTGAATGTAACAGTGGAGCTAGATTAAAGTGAAGAGTTTTGTCTCCACAAGATGTGTTATCGTAAATATATATATATGCTCACGGAAAAAAGAAAATATGCATAGATATCAAATATTGTACTCATGAATGACTTTTTCTTTGTCAATCCCTTCCTTTTCTGGAGGACGCGAACATCGAAAAAGATTAAATGAAAATTAATGATATCCATTTACATATTTATTTTTACACAAAGATATCTGTCATAAATTGAACACCCCAATGTCCAAATTCACAAAATCAGTACAGCACTAATGACTAACAGACTCCGTCACTGCTTGGAAAAGGCAAGCTGCAGGATAAACTTAGCAGGGGATCTGGAGCCAGATTTTTACCAGCGATTTCTCCAGTTCATCTTACGTTTGGGGCTGGTTTAGTTGTTGTCCTAAGTCTCCTTCCCTTCTCATCTCACAAATGTTCAATAAGGCGTATATCTGATGATGCAGCTGTCCATTCTAGGACTTTAATCTGATTGTATTGTTCGAGAGTTGTTTAGTCACAATATGTGGGTGGTTGGTAGGTGCTCTGGTGTAGTTTGCTTCTTCTTTCCTATCAAACATTTATTGTCCTTATCTCCCCTTCTTCTTTTTTATGTTTGTTACCCTCTTGTAGCACCTAATCTTCTGCGCTAATATGACCTTATGCAGTTGCGAGCGCCATAAAACCTCTACTAAAACTAAAAAACTTAGTCACAGTATGAGCAACGTGCAGTCATGTGTTATCATGTTGGAAAAACAAATGGGGCATATTTCTGAAAAAAGTGGGCCTTATGGCGGTCTATAATTTCAACTCTCTAACCAGCTCCTGTCAGTATCCCACTGACAGTTGCAAGTTGTGTCCCGTCAGTTCTGATTTAATAATTTTGGAAATTAGGACACAGAAACTTGAGATGGATATTTTTGTGCCATAATGAATACTTAAATGGAATTTGTTAATCTTCCTGACTTCTTCTTTGATGTGCAGGTCCTCTTGAAAATGAGTGGATGCTCTAAAGAAAATTGGCTTATGAGTACAATGTTTGATTTCTGTACCCACTTTTTTTCTGTGAGTATATTTATATATAATTATAATATAATATAATATAATAATATAATGTAACACAGCTGTATAAATGTGATTTTGAAAGCGGAAATTAGCACTTCTTTGAGTGCATAATGTTTTAACATGAATGTGTGCAAAGTATTTCTGTAAATCTATGTAGGGGAAAAGTGTGCTTTATTCAAGTGTGTTGTGTGAGTGTAGAGTAACGCTATGACTGTACGCAAGAAGTAACGCTGTTGTTTTGTGTTATGTGCTTTTCCTTCACTCAGGCATCATAACTAGCCTCCTCATCTTTCAACATTTGACATCGGTTTTCTTTACATCAACAGGTCTACCTCCTTTTTAGTAGTTTCTGCTAATGTCACCACCTCTTTACTTTCTCATTCGTATATGCAAATAACATTTGTTGAGGTTTTTTTTACCATTACCTGTGGCATAAATACCTACAAACTTGACCTGCCACATGAAATTTAGAAATATAAGTTGGAGTGGGGTCCAAGTGATCTCTCTCACCCTCCACGAAATATTTCTTCTCAGCTCACAAACTGAAAGGGGATCAGGATGTGATGTTCTGTCATAGAATCGTACGGACCTACAGTATGTCTAAACGGTCTTTTAACTTCTGTTAGCTCTGTTGGACATCTTGATTTTTCAACTCTTTAAGCCCTGAGTTTTTTCTAATGTTTCCTGGAGTTTTTTTCTATAGTCACTTAATCCTAGTGCAGTATATCTCATTATAACCCCAAAAGCTTGCCTCCAACTTCTAAATAGCGAAAACAAAGGCTTAGTCATTACTAAAAAAACTTGGTTCGGGAATAGTTCCGAAAAACAAGCAAAAGCTAGCACTAAATGAAACAATTGCAACTAGTACTGGACTCTCCCAGCATCTGATGGGGTCCAAAGAGTTAGTCCCTGTGTCTTATCAAAAGATTGTTTTGTATTTGAAAATTAGTTTGGGGGAGGGGGGGTTTGGAGAGATTTTAGCCACCTCTCAGTGCGGGAACAGAAATTAAGCCTATGCTTCATGGGACAAATGTCAGTCATTCCTGCCTTCCCATGATGACTTCTTTGATCTTGGCTACTTCAAAACATCATTGTCAATAAAGGCCCTGCTGAAAAGTTGCACTGTCCTGTAAGTGTAAGGCTGCAGTGTTTAGTGGGCTGATTCCCACGGTCTTCTGTTCTCATCAGTTGGGTTTTTTGTTTTCTCCTTGCTTCAGCTGGTATTTGGTAGTTTGTTGTTGTTTGTGACAGCAACATTTTGCTGTTTTTTCAAGAAGAAATTGATAGCTACTGATTTCATGATAAGAAGCTAATTGTCACGACTCAGTTCCATTGAAGTTCTGTTACTATTATTTCTTAAATAATTGATGTCAGTAATTGTTTTGGAATTTGCTATAAAAATGTTTTCTTTGAAATTATGTTTACACAATATATTGAGAGTTCAAAGATTGCATTTCTAACATTTTCAAGTGGAAACATGGACTAAGAAAAATCTTTTTGAAGTGTAGATTAATAAACCATGTCATGCATCT